CCTAGCTTGAACTATTAGACCATCTGTCCCATGCGATTCACACCAGTCTAGTGTGGGCACGTTCTCCCGGGAAGGAACATTTTCCTCACCAAACCCTTTGGTGATCCTCGCGGCTGTGGCCATGTTCCCCCTTCCCCCGAACTCCTTCCCGTGGTCAACCAGGGCTTCCTTCACCGCCGCGTAGCCGCACAGCACCACAGCCCGCTCCGAGCCCAGCTGCAGGGTGAACACGGGGCCGTACACATCTCGGAACTGAAACAGACAGTGAGGAAGTGGGTGGGGGAGCTGTCGCGGGGCTGTGCCAGCCGCCGGCTCTCCAAAACCGGCTTTGGCGTGCTGGGTGGGGGTGTGAGCCGCGCGCTTCTGTGGCTAGACCTGGACTCTGTGATGTTGGGCAAGTCACGTCCCCTATCTGGGCCTCCATTTCCCCCTCTGTAGCACAGAGAGAATAATGCGGATTGCTTGGGGACCTGGGCGCACTGAATTTTAACACGGCTCAGTGTAAACGTTCACATGTAGGAACCAAGATCGTTGGCCGTGTGGACCGGCTGGGGAGCTCTCTCCTGGGGAGCAGGGACTCGGGGAAAGATCTGGGCAGAAAATCAGCGGAACGTGAGCTCCCCGCGCGACGCTGGGGCCAAAAGGGCTCATGCGATCCTGGGACACATCCACGGGGGGTTCTCCGGTGGGAGCAGAGAGGTGATTTCCCCTCTGTGTTTGGCCCCGGTGCGACCGCGGCCGGGATCCCGTGTCCCGTTCCGGTGCCCACCATTCCAGAAAGACGCTGATCAGTTGGAGGGGCTCGGAGAAGAGCTGCGAGAATGAGCGGAGGATTCAAAAACCTAGCAAAGAGCAGGAGACGCCGGTCTCTCGGTACCGACATGGGGAGCAAATAGTTAACAACGAGCGAGCCGAGGAAGGGCTGACACAACCCGCAGGCTGGAAGCTGAAGCTGGAATTCAGACTGGAAATAAGATGTACATTTTGCAGCGTGAAAGCAATTACCCAGGGGGACCCTTTGCCAGCGGGCACAGCGTGTTCTCCAGGCCTGGCGGCTTTACGTCGAGCCTGGCAGCTGTTCTAAAAGATCTGCCCTAGGGATTCTGCGGGGGCAGATCTCCGGCCTGGGATATCGGGGGCCAGATGAGATGGGGTCCCTTGGAATCCACGGCTCTTTCCTGTGAGCGCCCGGCGGCAGGGCCTGCCTCTCTCTGGGGGTGAAGTCCCGGCACTGCCAGAGGCAAAGCAAACCTCCAGCCGTTACCGGGCCCAAGGCAGGCCCCTGCGCGTCCGCGCCAGCCGCGAACCAGTGCCCGGCCCGTGCCATTTATTGGAGGGGTTCGGTCTGCCTCGTGCTGCGCTAGCCACGCTGGCCCATTCTTCACCTTCATTCCCGGCTGGAAACGCCTCGGCTCCTTTCCTCCAGGAGCCCGGTGGGGAGAATTGGACGGGTCGCACGGAGAGCTGCCGGATCCTCGCACGGATTGTCACCACTATTAGGTGTATTACGGTAACACAGAGGTCACAGGCCTCATGGAGGTGTAGTAAGAGACAATCTCTGAATGGCCGTGGGGGAGAGGGGGTCAGGTCCACAATCAGGCGATAAAACCCCCAACTAGGTCACCCCTGGGGAGGCTGAAGGGGGAACCTCGGGGTCTGAAAGCCCAAACTTCCACCGCTTGACCTGGGCCCGGCCACGAGAGGGAGCCAACAAGCTGCGCTGGGTCCCACGTGAACCCCGGTGTGACCTGTACCTGGGGGGAGCACCCGTAACCCCCATTATTCCTCACTTGTGATTTGCATCTCAAGCAGGCTGAGTGCGGTATCGGGGGAAAGGCTCTGGCCGGCCGAAAGTCACTGTTCTATCCATATACGTGTGTCATTAGTGCATGTGACGTTATGAGTTTGTGAGGTGGACTGGCTCTCCCCAGACCCAGGTGGCGAGGTACCCCGCCTTCAACGGACTACAGTGCTCTGCAGACCTCAGGGAAGGGGATGGTTTGGTCAGTTTGACAGCTGGGGAAACTGAGGAAGAGAGGGGCAAAGTGACTTGGAATGATCACTAAACCTCACCACCCTGCCAGAGCCGGGAGAGGAACCCAGGAGTTCTGACTCTCGGCTCTAACCTCTAGACCCCCACTCCCCGCCCAGAGCCAGAGATAGAAGCCAGGAGTCCTGGCTCCCGGCCCCTGCTCTAACCACCAGACCCCACTCCCCTCCCAGATCTGGGGCGAGAACCCAGGAGTCCTGGCTCCCAGCCCCCCTGCTCTAACCACCAGACCCCACTCCCCTCCCAGAGCTGGGGCGAGAACCCAGGAGTCCTGGCTCCAAGCCCCCCTGCTCTAACCACTAGACCCCACTCCCTTTCCAGAGCCAGAGATAGAACCCAGGAGTCCGGGCTCCCACGCCCCCCCCCCCCGCTCTA